ACAAAAAAAGAGACAAAAAGGAAAAAAAAAAAAAAAAGAAATGAATATTTAGGGCCGAGCCCATGGCGCACTCGGGAGAGTGCGGCGCTGGGAGAGCAGCAGCGCTCCCGCCGCGGGTTCGGATCCTATATAGGTATGTCCATCAGTGTGTTAATGAATAAACAAATTGTAGTAAAGCCATATAGTGGAATACTCCTTAGCAATAAAGATGAGTGAATCTCAAAATAATTATGTTGAATAAAAGAAGTTGTACAAAGAAAAAAGAAATGAATATTTAGGCACCATTGGTACGGCAGTAGCATTGTGGTCAGACAGGTTGGCACAGTCCCTGTAAAATCAGGTAGCAGGGACAGGTAAAAAGAAACCTCTGCAAGATGATCACAGGGGCTGCTTGCTGTCAAAGGATTCACCCAGCCAAGCTTTCTGGGCCTGAAGTTAGTCCTGCAGGGGAAGGGGCGCAGTTCCCACTCCCTCTCAGAATGCAGCAGCTGAGACCCACTTTTGTCAATAATGCCCACCCCCTCCCCTGCCTGGCAGCTCTTCCCTTGCTGCTCTCTACTCCGTCCTCTCACTGCCAGTATTCCCTGAGACAAAGAGCCCTCCCCACACAGCCAGAGTGTATGAAGGAAAAGCTAAAACCCCAAGGATTGTGAAGACCCAGGATTGCAAAAGCTTTGCTGCTGTCATCTTTTAATGAAGATTTAGGGTATTTGGTGATTCTAAAAGGTTAGTTAAAGTAGCTGCCTTGCTCAGTGATGAGATTTATCCCAGTGCTCACCAGACTGCTTTGATCCACTTTGTTGACCAGAACAAATCTGTATTATATTTTAGAAATAGTCAACCTAACTGGTGATGGGCACCGATAGTAAAGGGCTCAAGGTGATGTTACATACAGAGATTAAAACCCTATACTGCAAAGGAGGGGCTTTGAAAGGTTAAGGGTTAACAAGTTGGCCACAGACTGTCAACACAGCCATCTTGTTGGGACCTTATTTTAACTAAGAGCTCCTCTAAGCATTTGATACACCTTTCTGTCTGACCATTAGACTAAATAAAGTAATCTGTTGATGTTCAGATGCTACTGTCTTAGACATCTGCTTCACTATTGAAGGGTAAGCTGTGGGAAATTTCAGGGGCATCTAAATGGAAAAACCATGTACTGGGGTAATAATGCATGCCTTCTCAAGCCACAGCGTCTACCACCCAAATGATTAGGAAATGCAGGATGATCAGTGTTAACTCTAGACAAATATTGTATCTCTCAGTAGAAACCTGTAATTTTTGTAGCAAACACAGGGTTGCCACCCTGGGTCATTGGCCTGTGTACAAACGTCACTAACTGACCTATTTTTGACACCCTACCATATGGTACATCACTTGAAGGCCTAAAATATGAGAACTGTTTTACGGGGATTCCCATCACTGCGTTGCATAATAACGTTCCTGCCAGTTGGGCAACTGGTAACCAGAGTGGCTCCGTGAAGTACCAACTCTTAGAGCGGCTATGAAGTTATTTCGTGGTTACTTCCCAGAGAACCAGTATTAGCCTTTATACCAGTATCATGACAAAACCTGTCAAATCTGACTTCTGTTTCCAGCCACAATGGAGTAACAGAAGGACAGAATATATGAAATGTTTTCCAAACATTAAACGTAGAGCAGTTCAGGACAGTGATCCCTGAGAGAGGGGACAAACCACATGAGCCCTATGTTTGACTTGCTTGCTGTCTAGAGGGAATTTCCAGGCTATAGCATAGGGAGGGGAACTAAGGCAGAGCTCAGCAGTCTCCCTGAGTTGAAATGACAGAGCTGGGAATCTGGGGACATCAAAAGAGGCTAATGTTTACAGAGCAGAATACAGAAAGGTGAGAGCTACCCAGAGAAAGCCTTCCAGGGACCTCAAGTCTTTAACTGAGTACTGAATAGCACATGTATATGTGTAAACTACTCAAGACTGGGTAAAGAACTACCTAAAGGACAAGGGGGAAACACCTGGGGCTTGAAAAAGGCCTGGAAGAGCTTGTATTCCGCCACCAAAGTGGAAAACTTTATAATTCACAGGGCATCTCATCTGGTAGAGTACTCAGAAGGGCATTAGTTCAGAAGAGGAAAATAATTAGCCCTAGGCTAAAAGCCTCTCATCCATTTAGCAAACCTTAAAAGCACGCCTTTCTGAAAGAATCAGTGTATAATAACTTAACCATGTCTCAGAGCACCCAACAAGTGTTTTAGAATCCAGTATAAACTTACCAGGCACACAAAGAAGCAAAAAAAGTTAACCCATAATGATGAGAAAAGTCAATCTATTGATACCAATTCAGAAATGACACTGCTGATATAATAACTTTTAATGGTCTACTTAATAATTTCAACTATATCACATATGTTCAAGAAGGTAGTGGAAAGATTAACCATGCTAAGTAAAACATGGAAAATATAATATTTTTAAAAATTCAAATCAAACTTTTGAAGATTAAAACTGCGATGTGAGAGAGGAAAAAAACTATATCACAAGGGATGGAATAGCACATTAGATATTGTAGAAAAAATTAGTGGCTTGTTTTTAAGAACTGCAAAAAAAAAAGACACATTCATAATTAACCAAAATTTCAATACTCCTGACTCAAATATTAATTTTAAAAATAATAGATTGCATATTAAAACAAGATACCACTACACTAACCTATTAGTATGGCTAAAATCTGAAACACTGACAATACCCAGTGCTGATGAGGATGTAGAGCAATAGGAATTCTCATTTATTGCTGGGGAAATGCAAAATGGTACAGCCACTTTGGAAGACAGTTTGTCAGCTCCTTACAAAACTCAACATACTTTTTGCTGGCTATTGTGCTCCTTGGTACTTACCCTAGTGAGTTGAAAATCTATGTCTACACAAAAACTTGCTCACAGATATTTGTAGCAGCTTTATTCACAATTACCAAAAGTTGGAAGCAACCAAGATGTCTTTCAGTAGGTGAATGGATAAACAAACTGTGGTACATCCAGACAAGAGAAATGAAAGCATATGTCCATACAAAGACTTATATATGAATATCTATAGCAACTTTGTCCTAGACAAAAACTGGAAACAATTTAAATGTCCATCAGT